ACCAATTCCAAGCCTCATTCAAATCACGCTGTAGGACTTCATGGTCGTCCGATCGTTTTATCGCCCGCCAAACCTTGAGGTCGTCCGCGAAGAGTAAGAATTTCGACGTAATAACTCTTACTAGATCGTTAATGAAAAGCAGGAACAAACGAGGCCCAAGTACCGAACCCTGCGGTACCCCGCATCCCACTCGAATCGGATCGGAAAAGGATGATCGAACTCTAACTACTAACTGCCGTTTAGAGAGAAAGTTACCGATCCATCCTAACAACGGGTCTCCGATACCGTACTGTTGGAGTTTAATGAGCAGGATTCGATGATCCAGGCGATCGAAGGCTTTCGAAAAGTCCAAGAATGCAACATCGACTCCTGTTCCCTCATCGACAGTCTCGGTCCAGTTGTCACGAGCTATCAGCAGATTCGTCGTACATGACCGATGTTGACGAAACCCATGCTGTTCTGGCGCAATTATGCCGTAGTTTTCCAAGTCTCCCATTAACGCATCTGCTATCACCGCTTCCATGACTTTGGCGATCACAGGCAGAAGCGTTACGGGGCGGTAATTGGCAGGATCCGATCGACTTCCTGCTTTGTATATGGGCGTTATTACACCTTGTTTCCACCTCGAAGGTACGATGTTCTCATCGAAACAGCGCTGGAAAAATGCAGCTAGTGGTTCGGCCAAGTGGATGGCAGCTACCTGTAATGTTTTCGGGTGAATGTTATCGGCCCCGGGAGAGCTGTGTGGACGCAAGGATAGCAGCTTTTGCAGCACCATTTCTGCAGTGAACGTGACGTTGGATAAAACGGACGGTGGGGTAACTAGTGGCGGAATATACGTCGAGGCTTGTACACCTTGGAAGATTGGGGAGTACGGGGCCCGTAATGCGTTGGCCGCCTCTTTCGCAGTATGTGTATACCCATTGGTCGTATTAAGTGGTGGGATTCCTCGTTGCACCTTGCGAAGTCCATTCACATGTTTGTAAAGAAGCTTTTTGTTCGAAAAGAATCGTTTGTCTAGCTCCTGCTGATGCGTTCTCTTGTCTTCGCGAACCAAAAGCACACAGTAGTTGCGATGCGAAACGTATTCCGTCCAGTTTTCTGCGCTGAGGTTGCTTTTATACGTGCGCCATGCCCGATCCCTTAGAGTCATGCATTTTCGCGTCCGGCTTCGCAAGAATGATTTCGCTGTGCGGGGATGTTGGGAAACTTTTGGTGTTGAGGCTTCTATGACTAGTGACGTGATGGTGTTCGCAAATGTCTCCCAGGCTAGTTCTGGGGTGCAGTTAGCTAGAAACGTCCAACTGGTATCCTCAACTAAGGCAGACAGAACGTGGTAATGGATAACAGATTGCCTCGTTTCGAGCTCCGCAGCTGGATATTCGGCGTAGCAGATGTAATCGAACTGCAAAGTCACGTGATCGCTACGGCCCAAAGGACTGCACACCTTTAGTCCATCGACCATGAGCTCTTCGTTAGTGAGCACTAGATCTAATATCGATGGGTTGTTTCCTGTTCTGAACCTGGTTGGAACGGTGACGTGGTTATACAAGAAGGTGCTAGAGAGTAGCTCTTGCAAATATGCCTTGAACATCTCTGTCTCGGATGCTGGATTTTCCAAGTCATGGGTGTTGAAATCTCCTGCAACGAGGATGTGGCTGTACTTCTGATTAAGCACGGAGCGAAAAGCGGAGATAAGTCGGTTGTCCCTTTCCGGAGTGGATTTCGGTGGTCGGTAAACCACAGAGAGAAGGCATACGTCGTTGCGTTCCAACCACAGTTTGCACCAAAGGACGTCGGTGACACAAGTCTGGGGATCGTCTATGAGCTCACAACGAAGGTTCTTTCGGAAATACATGAGCACGCCACCGCCCTTGCCCGTTCTGTCGTTCCGGAGAAGTGACATACCCGGTATGGCAATCTCAGCGTCTGTGATTTCGCCGCTCAGCCAGGTTTCGGTGATCATTATGATGTCTCGAGGCTCCGAAGCCAAACGGTGACGGAGTTCTACCAACTTACTTATGAGGCCTTGTGCATTGGTATACATGCAGGATAGTGCTTTTGTAACCAAGAGTGAGCTAGCACAGGTTGTGGTAGAAATGGAGTTTGTGCCGACCGTTAGCGGGTCGGCCATTAACCGTTTTTTTTGTGGTGACGTTTGCCTTTGAGCTTGCTTTCGGTTAGACGACTGATCGCGGCCTTCCGGGCCCTGCTGGTCCCCCGTGTTCAGCCGTGTTTGGTGGGATATTGCGGTTGTTGATAAATCCATGCCTTCACAAAGTTGCATGAGTGGATGGTTCAACAATGTGATCGCTCCCCGTGAGTCGTTGGTAGTCCGTGGCAGCGTACCTGATGCCTTTAACCGAATTTCAGCTGGCAGCTTCATGCGGAATTTGGACCAGTTTTCCAAGGCGAGCGGTAACATAAACTCAGATTGAAGCAACACCTTCATAAGTCTGGGACCGTTCCCTTTGTAGTTGGGTGCAAATGGAATCCTGGTCAACCGCTTAACAATGATATTATTGAGGGAGATTTCGTGGCGGATGTAACTCCATTGCTCCCGGTCATGTGCATCCGCTGCATCAGAGGTTGAATTTTGGAGCTCAGGAACCCCGTACACAATTATCATCCGTTTCGCCTCGGCTTTACGAACTTCTTCACGGTTGCTCATCTTTTTCGGACGTTCGTTCCAGGGGATATCAGGAAGTATACGCGCCTCGAGTGATGAATGACAAAGCCTGTTAGACGATAGTAGAACTGCCTCTGTGTCCTTGATGGAGTTTAGTGTCCCCCGGAGAAGTCGGGGTTCACCGTAGTGCGCTGAATTTGGATGACGTGTGACTCGTCTCAGCATTGCAGGTTCAACCGAAATGCCAATCGCAGTACATATAGACTTCCACTGATTACGATCATCCAACAGCTTCCCCTTTATTGTACTCGCCTGGGATTCAGGAACATTTGTACACACAACGGTTAACGCGCCTTGGCTCCTTGCGTTGGATGCAGATTTGCCATGACTTAAAGACACGGTGTTAAACGGATTGTTTGGTTGTTGGAGTCTGGTCAACGTACTGTTGCTTGGTGAGGCCACCGGAGTCGGAGGTAATTTAGCCGGTGTATGCATGGAGGCGACTGAGGCGTACGACGCCCGACTTTTCTCTACGGCGGAAGAGGTTTGCCCCGGAGCTTCCGCGGTTGCTGTTGAATGGAGGTGGGGCGTGTGACTCAAAGGTGTGGACATCAGTACTCTGAATGTTCGTCCGCTTTTGGGAGTTGAGTGAGGCAAGGGATTTGGAGAAACTGAGGCTGCAGCGCGACTTGAGCGTCTAGCCATTTTTTTCGGCCTCGAGGTGGAACTTTCTTTGACCGACTGTGGTACAATCATGGCCATATTCGCGGCCGGCGGTGCAAGCCTGGCGTTCAACAAATAAGCGATTGTCACATTCAAAGTATCGCACCTTTCCATGAGTGCACATAAACAACCGACCACTGAAGTTAACTGGCAAGTTGGACAAAACCAAAATGCGTCAGTAGCCTTGTTTATTTGCCTTGCTTCTTGGGCGGACTTTCCTATACAGCTCGGGTGGAACGAGCCACTGCAGTTTCGGCACGTTATACCCATTTTAAGGGCTTTGCCGTAATTAGCTGAAGAGCAGATACGTCGTTGCATGATATTCGGCATAGTTGTTGTATTTTTTCAAGCACGAGGACAAGCAAGATGTCGATCACAAATTCCAAAATGACGGGCACAGCAGTAAATCACTGAGATCTCCGAAGATATCAAGCGGAATTCCACGAAACTTTCACGGATTGATGAACACACGAAACTAAAAAGGTTGGTGCGCAACTAACACAGCAACACACGTAAAATACAGTAATTCCAGAGAAAAAGCAGGATCCAGCGCGTGGTAGCAGAAAATTCCGCGGCGTGGGTGTTGTTCAACCGCACCAACGTCAGGCGGTAGAGGCAGATGGAGGTCGTAACGCGCAGACTGTCGGGTTCAGCGATTAATCGACTCGCAGTTGAACACACACACACACACACAAAGCGCTAGCGTGTGTTGATCGGTCTGCCTTAAGCGACGATGTAGGTGGAGCGCTGATATGCATCCATAGAGCTGTTCAGTTGATGAGCAGAGCAAAAAGACTGTAACTTTATTATGTTGAAATTTGCAGGAATGATTGCCGCATAGTTTGGGAGCCCTCAGCTTCTTCTTCCCAATGAGACCAAAATCTTTCCCGAAAAAGTGGTTTGATGTAGTTACACACGTGGAATTCGGCAAAGAATATGCCAAAAATTGGGAACTGGAGCAAGAGTATAGCCCACACAGATTAGATCCAAGAGTTGGGAGGCACTGAGTAGAGCTCGTTGAACTTGTTCGAACGATCGCACACACAATTTTCTGTGGGGAGCATTAGGGTGGCCACAGAGGGCAAAGCGAGAGCGAGTTAAAGTGCGGACGCATCGCAAATGCTTCGGGCGTACTTTGCAAATGCTTTGGGCACACTAAGGCCAAGGTGAGTAACTGATTATTTGAGTTTCATCAGTACATTTGGGATACTATTCGACAGAGCTTCTTTAAGGCCGTCAGCCAATATATAGCTTAGTATTGCGCCACTGTATACCAAAGGTACAGGCATCTTTTATCATCTCACGTTATCATCATATTTTTACTTGCATTGCACTGCGCGAAGACTGTGATTTTGGCTACTCGTGTGCCTAGTGACGCACAACCACCAAACCCGCTGACCGGAGCAGACAACTGAGGCAGCCCAAACGGTGTGACCAGCGCAACCTAAAAATGCATACCGGCCATTGATCAATGGGCCGGAGAAGTTTGTCAAACGTGAATCCAGTGAGCAACAAACCCAACGTCAGTCAAAATCCAGACGAGCGGGGAACTGAGATCCTCGCAAAATCACCTGTTCGTTCTGTACCAATCCCTACGACGCAACAAATGTGAACATTACACGTAACGGAGCTAACAGTGTATCGACAGATGGGTTGTGGTCCTGACTTATGTTCAGATAGTCCGATAATTAAGATTGTACAGACGCTTACGATAAGGTGTGAAACGTTGGCTGTTACGTCCGCAGACCAAAAGGAACTGACCGCGGTATTGGGAGGAAAAATCTCAGAACTCGAGTTGCAGAATAATGTGTTACGTAGCCCGAATCCCCGACCTGTTACCAGGCAAAAACTCTCTAGCAACAATGCTATACAGTGCAGCGAAAGGCAAACACCGTTAGTGAAAAACAGCAGTGAAAACAGGCCGGTTGAACGGCCTCTCAAGTCTCAAGTAATGCTCCAAAGCATGCAGAGTTATGCACAGATTGCACGATCACCTCCGTCAGTAGTTGGACAACAATTGACCCCTACAGATAGTGCAACTAACGGGGTTGCACGTAAAAAAGCTTGCTGTAGCCTTGGCCTGTCATTCACGGAAGACAAGCCAGAAACTCCCACTCAAGAAATCTGCGCTCACAAGGAACTGAAGAACAAACAATTAGTACGCAACCAAATGGCGATTACAGTGTAATGCTAAAACGTCCCAGAACCCAGTAGCGAATCGCCAAATGATAGAAAAACCGAGAAGCAAAAGCGTTGGGCTGAAAAAACCTGCGCACTCGGACTGAAAGTTCTTCCGACTGGTTTTACACGCCTTTCATGAAATCCATTATCTTCACGCGTAGGGGAACCTCGGTTACTGCGAGTAACGTTTGACAACTCAACCGACCTCTAAAATGTCCTCTTAGCAAGCCAAATTCTAGTGAACTCATCTCTCAGTGCCCGCATTTTTCCTGATAGGTCATGGGCAAAAAGAGAGAAGCGGAAATCCAACCCTAGTTCGTCAAGTCAAAATGAGATGAAGAAAGTGGTACTGGTTCACGATGGGCCAGAATTGGAGCATGACGATAGCAATGAACGACAGAAGCATGACATCGAAGAATGGAGGTACATCGCAGAGCTCTACGACATGCAGAATGTCGTGCCTTCTAACGTCATCTGTTTAATTGCCTCCCCAAACTACCAAGGTAGCGGGCCACAACTTTTCCAAGTTATCTTGGCTGCGCTCGAAATGGTAACAGTGACAATCCTACCATGGCATGACAACAAGAAAGTTGGGCCACCAGAAATACGGTTAAAACCATTCCTTCAATTAGTACAGACATCAGATACAGATGAGCCAACCTCAGTTGTACCTATCTCAGATCAGCCAACTGTGTAATCATCATCATCATCATCATCATTACATGTCAGCTAGAGATGGTAAAACATCTCCGCTATTGTACCGCAATACATAAAGGAAATACATACATACATACATACAATACATAAAGGAAAAATAAATACGACAGTTGAATGCCAGCTGAGCTACCAGCAACGGATACGCATCGTTCCGGTAAGCTACCAGCCGGCTACTAGGCAAAAACAAAAATTTAATTATGTTTTACCCTACGAAATAAGATCATAGATGGAGGGGGAGGCTAAAGGGATGGGGAGGGACAAAGAAACTCATAGCACGAACGCCACTGAGGTCGGCTCCTTGCCATATCAGCAAGTGTATCCAGCCAAACGTGTTCACCGTCTTTTGGACCCCAACCAGGGAGCCGTGAAGCTCCAACTGAGGCCAGCTCCGAAGTGAGGGCCTTCATTCCTCTGGACCAAGTCATCGCTTGGCCACCTCCCCTCTTCTTCCACCCACATCCCCGGTGAGCAAACAACGCACGTCGAGGGAGTCGGTGGGCTGGCATGCGCAACACGTGGCCCAGCCATCGGAGCCTGGTGAGTGAAATGACGGTGCTGAGCGATTCATTCCCTTTTCCTAGGCCGTAAACAAGGCGTCGAACACGATCGTTACTCACGCGGTGTTCCCACCAGATGTGAGCCAAACTGCGAAGGCACCGATGGTCGAACGTAACTAGCCTCTTCATGTCCGCCGATCTTAGGGGCCAGGTTTCGCAACCGTACAGTAAGGTCGAACGTACCGCTGCATTGTACACTCTACCCTTCAGGGCGACAGTAATGTCGCGCCGTCGCCATAGGTGGCGAAGGTTAGCAAAAGCACTTCGAGCTTTCGCTATGCGGTTCGTGATCTCGTCTTTGATCCCAAGGGCGCTGATACAACTTCCCAGGTAATTGAATTTCTGAACGACTTCTAGCTGATCCCCACCAAGGGTCAGCACAGGGGGCGAACCCTGCCAATCCTGGAGGAACGCTTTGCACTTCGGTGGGGCAAAGCAAAGCCCGAAGCGACTGACAGCCAGTGCTAATCTGTCCAGCGCGGCTTGACACGTCTGGGAGCTGTCACAGATGAGGGCAATGTCGTCTGCATACTCTAAGTCAAGAAGTCGTTCTCCTGGGAGTAGCTCCACACCTTCCAAGTCATGTCCTGTAAATGCATTCTCCATGACTTCGTCAATAGCGAAGTTGAATAGGAAAGGTGACAGCGGGCATCCTTGTCTCACACCGCTGGAGATATTGAAGGGTGGCGACAGCCTGCTGTAAGCCCTTACTCTGCCCGTGCTACACGCATATAATGCTTGGATAATATTTACATATTTCTCGGGCACACCTTTCCTGAGTAGACAATTCCAAAGGGCACATCGATCAACCGAATCGAAGGCACCTTTGATGTCGAGGAACACGACTACGGTGGGCCGCCAATATGTGTGACGGTGCTCCAACAACTGACGCAAGGTGAAGATGTGGTCGATGCAGCCATGACCCCGACGAAACCCGGCTTGCTCCTCACCAATCTGGCTTTCACGAGCGCCAGTCAGTCTGTGGAGAATTATGGACGCGAGTAATTTGGAGGCGATGGAGATCAGACTGATTCCTCTATGGTTGCCGCATTCCGAGCGCGAGCCGCCTTTGAAGATGGGAACAATAACGGAGCGGCTCCAGTCGGTTGGGACAGTTTCGTGCTCCCACAGTTTCACTAGTAATTCATGCAAAGCATCAACAAGAGCAGAGCCTCCAACTGTGTAAACAACCGTATTAAAAATCTTCAACAAACCAGCACTGTTTGTGCCGGTCACTCACAGCGATTCGAGCTCATAATGCATCAACAAATACATTGCTGCTGCACCAACACTCAAGGGTTGTATTCTAAGCTCTCGGAACTGCGCCATCAACATGAAACAAAAACTTGGGACATCATATCAGTTACTGAAACTTGGCTCTCAAACGACATACGTTATCCAGAGATTGAACTCAATGAGGTGTCAGTCATTCGAAATGATCGTCCATCTCGCGGTGGCGATGTTTCCCTCTACTATCGAGATTACTTGAATGGTGAGACACTTACCGAAAATTCCCTTGTCATTCCCGATGCACTGTTTTGCGGACTGCACCTAGTAGGTCGAGATGTTGGATCACAGAAGAAGTCGCGTGATGCATGCCTCTTAGCAGTTATCCATAGGCCTCCGAACACGGCAGCAGACAGCGATAAAATTCTGTTAAACGCCCTCCGCTATGCTGTTTCACAAAAGTACTCTCACTATCTTATAATGGGCGACTTTAATGCGCCTTCAATAGCATCAATGTCCCCTAATGGGCCATCATTTAAATTGATGCTCTTTGAATTCATGGACATGGCAGTTTGTATAACCAAGTGCATTGAGCAACCAGACATCACGGTTCAAAGAAGCCATCACTCCTGGACTTAATCCTGACTAATGAAGAATTGATGGTTGAGTCAATACCATACGGCCCTCCACGGGGCCGCAGTGACCATTCAGTCCTAATGTTTGGTTATGTGTGTTACGCCAGTATTGTTGGTGCAGAAAGAGCGACTCAACGAACTATTGCGGACTATTTTAAGCTGCACAACTTAGCAGCAACTATTGACTGGGACCTACAGACGCACAGTCCAGCGAATGACGCATGGAATGAACTAAAAGATAAAATTAATTGGGTCATACAATCAGCATCCAAAGTAGTACCACTATGAGCATCGCTCCGGACCAATACTTGGATCCGAAGCAGTGCACGTTAATTGATAAACGGTAGAGATGAGATCTAGAGGCGACATTCGCTAAGCCCATGTGATATCACATGGCAGAATTACAAAGTCATCAGAAACTACTGAACGTCACTTATTAGAGTCGATAAGTACGAATGGCAGGAGACCATGGTGCTGAAATGTACGAGTAACACCAAATAACTATACAGATTTGTGAACGGTAAAAGAAAGGTTGAACCCGGAATACCACCACTCAAGACGGCCACTACTGATGTGGATGCGACGAACGCTCTGCTCCTGCAGTTTACCTCAGTGTCTCCCAATACCATGTAATATTTGCTCTATCAATTCCTAACCAATCACGTTGGCTTATCAAGCGTCACCTTTACCCCAGCAGCTGTTGCAAGCAAATTACAGTCTCTCCGGGAGTACAGTGCCCCTGCAATTGACATGATCTGCCCGAAAGTACTAAAAACCCTTTCTCCCACCATAGCAGCACCACTTCCAACCTTTATCCAGGGTCTGCTTAACTCCCATAAACTCCCATCTGAGTGGAAAAATGGAATTATCACACCAATATACAAAGGAAGTAAGCGATCGGATCCTGCCAACTACCGACCTATTACTCTCCTTCCTGTTTTATCAAAAGTGATGGAATCGGTAATCGCAGATGAACTGATGCGATACTTTGAATGTCTACAGATAATTTCCAATGCCCAACGTGGTTTCAGACGCAGACTATCTTGTCTCACCATTTTACTGCTAAATCGGGACTCATGGACCAGGGCGGCTGTTGAAGGAGTCCTCATAGGTGTGATTTACTTAGCTTTTTCTAAAGCATTCGACAGGGTCAATCACTTCTTTTTCCTCCAAAAGCTTGCTGCCTATGGTATAAACGGTTCCCTGCTCACCTGGTTAGAAGACTACTTACACGACAGAGAAATCAGGGTAAGAGTTGCCGGCACGCACACTACAAGCCTGTGCGTCTCCAGTGGTGTACCACAAGTATCGGTCCTCGGCCCGCTACTGTTTTTAGTCTACATTAATGACCTTCCAGCAGACATTCTATCTCCGATGTAAACATTTGCAGATGATGCCAAAATATGGAGAGCAATTCGCTCAGCATCCGACCGTGTCTCTCTTCAGAATGATCTGACTCGATTAACTAGTGGGCAGAAAAGAACCAACTCCCAACTAAACCCTGCAAGTGCCACCTGCTGACGGTGCACAGCAACATCGTCAACATATACTTCTGGGGCAACACATCCTGCAACAGGTGACTAATGAACTCGACTTATGTATAGTCGTGCAACAGAGCCTTGGCAATTCGCTCCAGTGTTCAAGAGCAGCAAGTGTGGTGAACTTGCACTTGAGACATTTGAGGCGAGCTCTCGACACCTTACAGCGACGGTTAGTACCAATGTTGATTAACTCCTATATTCGTCCTCACATTGAATATGCAATTCAGGCCTGGTGTCTATGGTTAACACGATATTCGCCTATTGGAGCAACCCCAAAGAAGAGCTACAAAGGTAGTGCGTGGACTATCCGGTCTAAGTTACGAA